GCAGCTTGTATAACAGTGTAAAGCAATGTAAAGTGAGCGTACAGCTTGTAGAACTGTAAAGTACTGAACGTGCAGCTTGTATAACAGTGTAAAGTAGTGAGCGTACAGCTTGTATAACTGTAAAGTATGAGCGTACAGCTTGTATAACTGTAAAGTAGTGAGCGTACAGCTTGTATAACGTAAAGTAGTGAGCGTACAGCTTGTATAACAGTGTAAAGTAGTGAGCATGCAGCTTGTATAACAGTGTAAAGTAGTGAGCATGCAGCTTGTATAACTGTAAGTAGTGAGCGCAGCTTGTATAACAGTGTAAAGTAGTGAGCGTACAGCTTGTATAACAGTGTAAAGTAGTGAGCATGCAGCTTGTATAACCGTGTAAAGTAGTGAGCATGCAGCTTGTATAACTGTAAAGTAGTGAGCGTACAGCTTGTAACTGTAAAGTAGTGAGCGTACAGCTTGTATAACTGTAAAGTAGTGAGCGTACAGCTTGTATAACATGTAAAGTAGTGAGCGTGCAGCTCGTATAACAGTGTAAAGTTAGTGAGCGGCAGCTTGTATAACGTAAAGTAGTGAGCGTGCAGCTTGTATAACTGTAAAGTAGTGAGCGTACAGCTTGTATAACTGTAAAGTAGTGAGCGTACAGCTTGTATAACAGTGTAAGTAGTGAGCGTACAGCTTGTAGAACTGTAAAGTCTGAGCGTTGCAGCTTGTTTAACTGTAAAGTAGTGAGCGTGCAGCTGTATAAACTGTAAAGTAGTGAGCGTGCAGCTTGTATACAGTGTAAAGTAGTGAGCGTGCAGCTTGTATAACTGTAAAGTAGTGAGCGTACAGCTTGTATAACTGTAAAGTAGTGAGCGTGCAGCTTGTATACAGTGTAAGTAGTGAGCGTACAGCTTGTTAACAGTGTAAAGCAATGTGCGTACAGCTTGTATAACAGTGTAAAGTAGGAGGTACAGCTTGTATAACGTGAAATAGTGAGCGTACAGCTTGTATAACAGTGTAAAGTATTGACGTACAGCTTGTATAACAGTGTAAAGTAGTGCGTACAGCTGGTATAACAGTGTAAATCTGCTGTCCCCTCAAATAACACATCACACAGCTGTTAATGTTTAAACCGCTGGCAACTAA